GAGTGAAGAGAATCAATGGACTTTTGACAGGTATAAGAGTGAAACAGAATGAGTAATGGTAGAAAGGAATATGAAAGATTACAGAGACTGAATACATCTGCGTCATTGACAACGATTTTGAACCATGTCACCTATTGTCTCCAGCTATTGATTCTTAGAGTCCCGAGGGCCCCAACCCAGAAGTCTGCATCTCCCTACCTGACTCAGTTTAACTGTCAGGGATTTCATGGATTGATGAGGCCATGTTTTTGTTTGGCCATCACTTACTCTTTTCCAACCTGCACCTATATCAGCTAGTAATGCCCGTCGGGGGAGGCGATGGCTAGGCATACGCAGCACGTGGCCTAGCCATCTCAATCTATTTAACTTTATAGCCTCTTCGATTGATTTTCCCTCTTTGCCCAACACTACGCCTAACGTCAACATTGCTTACTTTATTATACCACCTAACGTGAGAAAGAGATCGTAAACATCTTTGGTCAAAAACAGACAATCTTTTCATGTCTTCCGCTCTCAATGGCCACGTCTCACCACCATAGAGAAGGACGGAGCGAACTGCTGAGCAGTACACACGTCCCTTGGTTGATAGCCGGATGTCACGCCTACGCCAGAGACGGTGTAAGTTAGCGAAGGCAGCTCGAGCTTTTTGGATCCGTGCTGAGATTTCGTCACCAATCAATCCGTTGGTGCTGATACAACTTCCCAAATAGGTGAAGTGGTCAACATATTCTATCACTTCACTCCCTATCACTAAGCTTGGAGTTGACGTAGTCCAGTCCTGTAGCAGCATCTTATATTTTACAGGGGCGAATCGCATGCCAAACATACGAAGATTGCTGCTCAAGGTGTTCAGAAGACTCTGCATTTTGTCAGCATCCTCCCCTAACAGGATTATGTCGTCTGTATATTCTAAGTCCATAAGACTATTCCCTGGTAACAAGTCGATTCCTAAGTCGTTAAGTTCAGTTGAGGATACTTCCATTAGCATATCTATGATGAAGTTAAACAGAAAAGGGGAAAGTGGACATCCTTGACGGACACCACTGGTTGTTATCAATTCCCCATAAGCCCTTACATGGCTACGTAAGTTTGAGTAGAGTGCCTTGATTAGTTCAATGTACTTTACTGGCACTCCCTTCCTACGTGGCTTAGACTAACTGTTGTAGATTTCATTGACTGGTGTCATGTTTTCGTTTGACCGCCGCTAGCTCTTTTCCAGCCTGGCCCTATATCAGCTAACATTGCCCGTCGAGGAAGGCGATGACTAGGCATACGTAACACATGTCCTAACCATCTCAGTCGATGTAATTTCACAGCCCCGTCTATTGATTTCCCCGCCCACCACTCTATAATCAGTGTGGTGATATACACTAATTAACACGTAAAAAAGACCCAAATTTCTTAACATACGTGTTGGTTCAGTGCTTTAATTTGGTTCAAAGACTTAACACGTCACCACAAGTATTTTCACCAGGCTGTAGACTTTCATCAACGCCTAGCCCTTTCGCTTGATAATGAAGATCAGATGGCCTGCCAGAAAGAATTAGCAACAAAGGTTTCTATCAGCTAACGTTGCAGGAAGGAAAACAGGTGAACTGGGTGTTGCATAATAAGCATCACTTGAAAATGTTGACGGAATACCACTTAAGCAGAGAAATTGCAAGTGATTAAGAACAAGCTGAAAAAGAGGACTGCCTGACTTGCTCAAAAGAAAACGTGAAACGTGCGTACACGCTGGAATACGTTTGTTCAAAAATAAAAGAACTTTGGATTTTTGCACAGCCATACCTCTTATACTAGACTGACTTTATTCTATACATCAGAGTGGAACGTGAGAAAACTGATACCACAGAAACAACTAGCATTACAGATAACTAGAAATTAATACTTATCATGAGATTTAAAGCAACCACAATTAGAACAGTACATATTTTTGCTTAGAGTGAGGATGGAAGGTATTTGCTGTCTCCACACCGCTCCACCAGGAAATTCACGTTGAAACCCATGCGCCTGGTGATAAAATGCATACAACTAAATATCATGAGTTGTGGTTGCTTGAATAAAATATGGCATCTCATAGTCTGAGACATGGGAACACAATTTGTAGTGCTTGTTAAATACAGTGTGCAGATACACTGCTCCTCATAAACGACGCGTTAATTAGTGAGGGTAAGTCTGTCTGTCTGTTTTCGATATAGAACTTTGCACATATGTGCGGCAGTTCAAGTCGCCACACTCCCTCCTTGTAGCACACAAAGCAAGAGAAGAATGTAGGAGAAATGCATATTAGAGACAGTAAACAGAGGTGTGAGACAAAGGAATAGTAATAACGAAGAACAAAACAGTTTAATTGGAAATCATAAGTCACAAGGAGTGGATGCATCTGCCTTAGCCATTGAGAACGATTTTGAGCCATGTCACTAATCGTTTCCAACCATTGGTTTTTACCGTCCCGAGGACCCCAACCAGTCAAGGAGTCTACACCTTCCTACATGGCTGGCTTAAACTAACTGTTGTAGATTTCATTGACTGGTGCCATTTTTTGGTTTGACCGCCGCTAGCTCCTTTCAAGCCTGACCCTATATCAGCTAACATTGCCCGTCGAGGAAGGCGATGACTAGGCATACGTAACACATGTCCTAACCATCTCAGTCGATGTAATTTCAGTCTCGTCGACTGATTTCCCCGCCTTACCTAGCACTCGACGCCTAACCCAAATATTGCTCACCTTATTATACCACTTCACACGGGAGATAGAACGCAGACACCTATGATCAAAGAAAGCTAATCTTTTCATGTCTTCCACTCTCAATGGCCAGGTCTCATAGACATAAAGGAGGATGGAGTGGACTGATGAGCAGTACACACGCCCTTTGGTCGATAGTCGGATATCACGTCTATGCCAGAGACGGCGTAAACTGGCATATGCGAAACTAGCCCTCTGTATCCGTGCTGAGATTTCGTCAGAGATCAACCCGTTGGCGCTGGCTGATACAACTTCCCAAATAAGTGAAGTGGTCAACGTGCTCTACCACTTCACTTCCTATTTCTAATCTAGGAGTCGGTGTAGTCCAATCCTGTAACATCATCTTGCATTTGGCGGGAGCGAATCGCATGCCAAACATTCGTAGATTGCAGCTGAAGGTGTTCAGAAGACTCTGCATTTTGTCAGCGTCCTCGCCTAGAAGGACTATATCGTCTGCATATTCTAAGTCAACGAGATTATTCCTTGGTAGCAAGTCAATCCCTGAGTCTCTGAAGTGAGTTAAGGTTAAGTCCATTAGTACGTCTATGATGAAGTTGAATAGAAATGATGATAATGGGCATCCTTGACGGACGCCACTAGTCGTCACCACTTCAGATGACAACTCGCCCTCAACCTGGCTGCATGAGTACGAGTAGAGTGCCTTAATCAGTGCAATGTGTTTTCTAGGTATTCCCTTTACAGCCAAGCATCACCAGAGAACCTCTCGGTCGACAAAATCGAATGCTGCCTTTAGGTCAAGAAATATAATGATTGTTGGACGCTGGTAGGAATGCCTATGTTCTAGAATCTGTCAGAGGGTGAAGATATGATCAATACACCCTCTTCCTGGCCTAAAGCCTGTCTGGTTTCCTCGTGTTTGAGAAAAGTGAGGGTGAGTAGACTTCGATCTCTCTCTCGCAATGCTCTTATGTGGCCGCGCAGCCATAAGCCTCTGACCAGTAAGTCCGATTCCCTGCCTTCATGCGACGGTGTTCCTAACAAAAGTGAAGGGGAGCTTACAACCGGACATGCACATCTACCTAGGAAAACTCTAATTCCAAATAAGGGCTCCAGAATCAGAGAGGACTGAATGGCATATGAACCCATTTTGGTCACTAGCAGCCAATGAAAAGTGGCTCCTAATTCTTCTCCACTGTTTGTAGAGGGGTGGCCTCTTGAAGACAACCACCTGCTTCGATCTGGGCATCCAGACAGTATTCTAGCCTTCACATAAAGTACGAGATTGCGTGTTTGGCTCATCTCTTGGTTTTCAAGTATTGGTATTGTAGGGATTTTTGTTTGATTGCATGGAGGATTTCATCATGAGCTGACATCAGTTAGAAGATGAGGCATTAACTCATCGAAGAAGACATTGCGAAATGGTCGCACTATGTCGTGAATTGGCAGAAGTTAGAATTCTAGGTCCATCGGATGGGGTCCCAGTGGCTCAATGGTCTACGAGCTCGCCTTGTAACCAGAAGGTCCCGGGTTCGACCCCAGGCGGCCGCGTACTGATGAAGAGTCCCAAACTGGGACGAAACAGCTGTCCAGTACTCCCAGGTTTTCCAATTGTTCTCTAACTGATGTCAGCTCATGATGAAATCCTCCATGCAATCATCTCTTGGTGTCCATAATGTATCAAGTTTGTGTGTCACTGATGAACTGCCACTTCATGTAGAAAATAAATTCACCTGTGAATCCCACTGAACCCTTTAAATTTCAAATACACTTTAATGGGTACGAATTCATGCAAGATTACTATGACAGAGGTCATCGACAATCAGTACAAAATATGAAAGATTGTACAACATATCTTCTGGGAAGAAAACGATTTATACACAGACTTTGTAAGTGATATGAAAATGATTTCAAAGAATCACAATTAGTGAAATACAAATGAAAGCCTCGTAATGCCCATACATACAGTATGTAACGACTAATCCATATGCATGTAGAAGGATGAATGGCTGGCGTATGTTGGGGCATAAATAGTGAAATTACAATGCAGAGATGGGCAGGCGGTACACTTCTTCGACGGACTACTACTGGTGGTTTGTTCAACCTAAATCCTCATCGACTGAACAGACGGACGGCCTTATGTCGTTCAACTCTAAATCATCTTCAGATTCCACTGTACAGCGCACATATTTTTACTAGGAAGCAATAATAATATCCGACGACACTTTCTAGTTGAGTTATTGAGTAATTCATGAAAAGAATATGAACAATGAATGACCAAAAATACCTCACTTTTAAATGCTTGATATTTATTCCACACACACATACACACAAAGATGTACAAATAGCTCATTTAAAACAAAAACATTCCAACTTTCTTAGCATGCAATGACAAAAGTAAACGCCTGATCAAGCAAGAAAATAACAGAAGAAAAAATTAACACGGGAGAACACTTTTTTATAAAAAAAGAAAAACAGGACTATGTCAAGTCAAGTTCCGTATTATTATTATTATGATAACTACAGACATTCTGTGATGGAGTCCATTTTGTAGATGATTTCAGCTTTTTTAGAACTCAAATCATCATTTGATGATTGATATTGTGCTTTTGTCAATTTGCCTGAGAGCAATTTCTCAGCTAATTGTACACCTTCTTGGATTAGATCACGATATCGTTGATCCAAGCTATTTATTTCATTTAACTGGGTGAAGTAGAATTCAAAAGAAATGTATTACAGAAAATTTAATAATTACAACCATAAATCAATTATTAATTCACAGATTTAGTGTCAAAACAACAGACAAAAATAAGCATTCAAAATAAGTGCCACAATATAATATATTTTGATGTGGTTCCGTTTACTCAACTGGATGGCTTAATTGCAAAGCTCTTACTGTCTCTGTCATCTAAAAAATTGCTAGTAGAGTTGAGGTGGATGAAAAAACATCCTTGGTATTTAAAAAGCCAAGCTAGTGTAAGCCAATTTCTAACACACAAGCAGACGATGAGATGTTAGCATTGGGCTAGCCAAGTTCAGTTCCACAACGCCTAGTAGAAAACAAGATATTGTTGAAGGAAAGAAAAATCTTTCCGAAAGATTATTCTATACATAAATAGATCAACTCATACTACAAAATGCATAATCATACGTGATTCACGTAAATCTATGTGACATGACAAAGTAAAATCTACCATTTAGTACCGCCTATGTCAGTGCGGGTACAAAACGTTCGTGTGGCATTTGGCAACTTCAGTCATCTCTAGGGTAGACGTGATATTCAACTACCTATTAAACGTAGTGTGCACTGAGCAGGAGTTCTCTTTGTCCTCCTTTATGGAGATATGAAAAGCCTAGCTGTCTTTGACCGCAGACATTTGCGTTCTATTTCCCGTGTTAAGTGCTACAATTGGGTCAGTACTATCTAGGTTAAGCGTCGAGTGTTGCATAAGCAGAGCAAGTCAATCGATAAGGTTAGGAAGCTATACCGATTAAGATGACAAAGACACGTGTTGCGCATGCCCAGCCACCGACTTCTCCGATGAGCAACGTTAGCTGGGTTAGAGGTGGTTAGACCAAAACCTGGAATCAATCCATGAAGTCTTTGACAATAGGTCGGAGTCACGTAGGGAAACAGGTTTACTGTTTGGGGTCGTCGGGATGCTAAGAACCTACAGTTGGAAACAATTGGTGACATGGCTCGAAACGTTCATACTTCCCTATTCTTTCACCCTCATATTCTTTTGAGTCTTTTTTCTCTTTTGTCTCCTTTTTGGTGCTACATGTAATGTGGTAACTTGAAATGATGCACTTCTGTACAAAGTTGTAAGTTGAAACTCAGTCAGTCATTATGTCAGCTACCTCTTGATGACTAAGAGCGAAAGACGCTAATGGGTTCCACATCTTTTTCAACGTGCCGTAAGTCACTTACATTAAACCATCCACTAGCTAGTATATACACCTTGTTTCGTAATCCACTAATTATGATGACTATTGTCTCTACTATACTTCATTAGTACAACTCAACTAATTATTTATATATGGGGGAATAAGCCATAATACAGTACGTCCAGTGTTGCACAATTTCAGATCTGAATGTATATTATATCATTTGGTTGCAGTGTGTAAGATAGTAGAAAGCTTCAGCCTCAAACCTGCAGTCAACTAATTTAGTTTGTCCTGAACAACTGCATAGCAAGTATGAGTCATCAAGTGCAAGTGCACATAGCTGTTGGCTGAGTTAACTCCTCTCTATTTGACTTTCAGGTTTTTGAAAGAATTTTCCAAGCACAAATTTTTAGTTTCACGTTTAGGTGGAAAACTATGCTCACTCTGAGTTAAGCTTAATTTTGCTAAAAATGTATGAAGCGTGACGATACGGCAATCAACAGGCGAAAGATGCTGCCAGAACTATCAAGTGAAAACTGAAATTTATTTTGAATCTTACATATTCGAATACCCTAATAACGTTCTAGATAAAATCAGCCATAGGGGGTTTTTAACACTAACCAGCAATGAAAGGAAATACAGCGCGGCAAATTGACAAGTGTATCTACCAGTCAGGATGATAAAAGGATAATAACGTAAAATTATTACTAAAAAATAACGCAGCTGTTGAAAATAACTCAGTCAACTCACCTTTTCAACTCCATCCGTGTAAAGATCAGCCATTTTATTCTGAACAGATAACAGCTGCTGGGTAACACTCTTATGATCCGTTTCCAATTTGCGACGATCAGTTGTAAATTGTGCACTATTTTTCGACGCCTTGTATTTTAATAGAATATCTTCGTAAGACTGATATAGAGAAGAACGACGACTCAGTAAGGCTTGAGCTTCGTCTACCAGAGTTTGCGCTCGAAGGCGTAGTTCACTTTTTTCATCCTATGTTAGAAAGTTAAATCACGAAGGTATTTTGATTGCAAAAGACTAAACAACAGACTTACTATATAGGTTTCGAGTAACGTTGCAGAACAACAAAGTTCAGGTCAGTTGCATAATGAGCACAGCTATGTGACACGCAACGTGCACTCACAATTCTCTGAACTTAAGCTCGGTAGCAAGCAAGTGTACCTGATTTTCCTATCCCAAAGTACCTAACCCCTATGACAACATTTCTAACTTATATGACAGAAAACCAATATAAGTGCAATTCCCAAGGTAAAAGTTGAAGCAAACTGTTGAGAGCATATTAAAAACGGCTAAGCTTTTCGTTCATCATATTTTGCATAAGAAATTCTTCTGTTAAAGAAATAATGGAAACGACTTAGTTCTAGTTAAATCAGCTACCTTTGATGGGTTTTCTTTCCACCTGCCACTATGAACACTGGGTACAAGTAGTAGTCCCACAAACACGCTCTAAGTCACATTTTATTTCCAGTGGAGTTAAGTGATACAGATTTTTGACACCCGTTGCCACTTGCAAAGCCTAATCACTCATTGGAAATCGAATACCAGCTGGTCACAATTAACAAGTGATGTGACTTGTTGGCTTAAGCACTTGGCTTTCAACCAATGGGTACTGAATTCGAATCTCACTCCACCTACTTCACTCTGGGCAAATCAGTATTATCAACAACCCTCACAGAATCAGTGTAACTCACTTCACGGCACAACTAACTAGTGTCCAATCAAAGTACCGTTGGCTTTTACTGCCTACCCTCTAAAGGGACTGCCATGTAAGCGGTCTTAGGTATACATTCAAGTCAGTTAAAGAATACCATAAACCTCCACAAAACACGTTATTCTGGTAATATTGGGGTTAGTTAAATGAAAACAAAGGATGAGCAGTCCAAAATGATCTACCAGTCAACGATCTTGTTGATTATTTGTTCAACTTGTATGAGCAAATGTAAGTTCTCTGTCTGAAATCCACGTGGACATCGGTAATCATGGTAGCATGCTTTATATATATGGTTAGGGACCAACCGTCCTGGAACAAATGTATCTTAACTGCAATCTCACATTTTTCGTCTCATATATCGGTGTGTGCAACTTGACCGAATGGCTCTTATTTTCTTGTTTCCCTGTTTATTTTTCTGACACCGTAGAAGACTTATTTTGCCTTAGATCGTTTAGTTGGAGCCCCTTAATCATGCAAGTCACTGGCTTTACACAGTATAACATATGGGTCAATATAAGTTAGTGACTGCGTAGTACTTTTTTCAGATATTTTTTGGGAAGAACACGGAAATAATGAATATCACTTGAAAAGCAAATGACTCCTGACTAGTCTACTTTTATTTATCACACTATTGCATACTTCTTGTAAATGCTTCAATCAAAAATAATAGCAAGTAAGTACTATGGTCACCTGAATCTAGGTTTTTGAGTTTAGAGGTTAAATAATGCAATCAGTAAAAAAAACCACGGGAAATTACCTTATAAATTGAAAAGTCCAAGCGAACATAAATTATTATGGCAACGAAGATGCACAAGAACGCTACAATCAGCATCAATGGTTCTCGAAGAATCAGTGCGAGATTGAAACGGTACCTTACCTACAATAATTATATTAAATCAACGAAATCATTTACCTCAAAATCTTGAATGTGTTCTTCAACAAGATTATCACCTTTTGTCACAATTACGGTACGACCTGTAGTATCTAAGTACGTCTTCATATTCTCAAAATATTGATCACGAACGGGGAAAGGCGGAACAAAGTGAATATCAGACACGGCTTCAGGTAGGACTATTTTTAGTGTCAGATTTTGAATCACTTGATTCTCATAAACATGATCAACGAACCGCATTGCAAGGGCGAACTGAGAACCTAACACAGGAGATTTGGACAAATAAAAAGTAACTTTATGTAGAAATAGTCAGGATAATTTACTTGTAACAGTGCACAATATAACAAATAATTCGCCAATTTATAAGTCAACATTAGTCACCTATGTGGTGAACAAGATTAAGTAGGTATCAACCTAAAAAACAGACAGAACCAGCTCACAATGGTATATATTACAAATTTTAAAAAAACCTATTTTCTTTTAGCAAGGCTTAACAGACCACTAGTGGAAATATAGTTTTTCTACAGTAACTGCATGAGATAGAGCCCCTAAGAATTTAACGATTCAAAAATTACGATGAACATGTTGCTGGGTTTTATTTGCTAAGCTAATGCATACAAGATTGTTCCTAATAATATTTTAAAGATTGACAATCCAGTAGAGTGATTAACATAAACGATTATGTAGCTGTACTGGGCCCCAAAACAACAGTAATTAACAAATGCCTGAAATACTTGTGAATGATCAATAAGCAGAATTTGATACCCGGCGTATCAACAAGCAGTAATATAGCCAATTCTAAGCTACTTAAATATGTTATACGACCATGGTGGTTGCCCAGTTAATTGCGACATATAACTGGCATAAAACTGTAAGTCGAATGTCACGTACTAACAGTTAGACAGTCATTTGACTTGCCAGTTACTTTTGTGTAAACATCCGCCACTTACGGTTAACTGCACATCTTCGCTATTCTGTCTACTTCATGTATAAACACTCAGGTTAGACATTTTATCTTACACGTTAAAATCGTTCGGTATGTTTGTCTTTATTTGAACGACAACTGCTTCGCATATATTGCTGTTATACTTTTGTATTCTTATACATCAAAAGTCAGAGCGAAACTCAGATTCTAACTTGTTAGTATAGACAGAGGACTAAGATGTCTGTAGGCTAATTAAATCCGACACGCGCTCCACTAAATCCAAGTCAGGGAATAATCAGATCAACTTAAAATAAGAGCGACATCCGAACAGATCTCTGCAACTGCAAATGAGTATATTGCTAGGCACCCTAAAATGCAACTGAATTACGTACCACTGGGTTAACGTGGATTGAGTTACCAGGTCTTATATGAGATAGTAATAATCACTCTCCTAATTACTACGGTTGGATTGATACTAAACAACATATGTAATAATTGGGGATCTGATAGATGAGCCATCATCTTTCACTAATACTCCCACTGTTAGTTTTGATGCTAACAAAGTTATGTGTGTGGCTGTTTTATGAGCTGTGGTGCTCATGAGCACAAATCCTCGGTAGTGGGACCTGTCTTCATAATGCTGATGAGAATAACTTGCATGACTTTCGGATCCGAGACTAATGAGTTAACTTATGTCCCGACCTCCTGCCAAATGAAATTTTAGTGAGACTGGTACATCGGTAGTTAAAAACGTGGCAGTTTCTGTCAGCTTGTCTGTTAACACAGACTAGATGGATGGGAAAGCCTTAGAGGAACTTGAGAACATTTACAAGTGCCACATACCCTTTTATACCATAGTCAACAAAATAATCCTTATACATCTTGAAAGGGCAGTCAGATAAGGTAAGGACAAGGAAATGCATCTTCGAAACTGAGAGACCAAAAACTTGCACACAAAATATGAAAAGCAATGTGCGGGACTATATAAACCATCTCAAAAGCAAGTCAGACTTTGACACAGAAGATACTTAGAAACACTGGATTATATTTAAAATACGAAGTTGGTGGAATCACAAGAAGAAAAAGCTGAAAATCCACTGAATTGCTTTAGAAAGATGCTTTCGTTAACAATAAAATATATAATGAGCACTGCCACTATCCATTATGTTCACGTCAGTGAGGACTGGAAGTCAATAATCATTAACTGGAATCAGCTTTCTGACGACTTTCCGTGATATGAACAATAAAAATTTCGCCAAGGTATTCAGTTTTACCTAAGATTTGGACAGATGTAACGACTTGTCTAACAGTCTAAATCTGGTGTATAATTACAACTTATTCATTTAACGAGCTTAACAGGTTGTCACTAAATTAGTGATGAGGTTGAGGGTCTTTGTCAACTGTTCACTCCCACTAAAAGATTATCACAGAGAATTTTGAAAGCAAGAATTAAATCACCTACGAGTGGCACCTATCAAGACTGAGGTGGAAGCTCTTTGAGTTCACTTCAAAAGGAAAATCGATTCTTTAGAGGCATGCACTCCCAGGACTGACGCAAAGTACGAAGTCCCATCGCCATTGTTATTTGAAAACTTGACTCCGGTTGACTAGAAATAACATGTATGCCAACTAACTGGTTTCCACACAGGACTTTCTGTGAAAGTACACCAGTTTTATTTGCCAAACTCGAAGGATTACCTAAAGGAAGACAAAAGAGAGGTGTCCTAACAATCTAAATCGATTTAACTTTTGAACCTCCTCAGTTAACTTCGTCCTTCACCTAATCTCGACATTACCTACCCTATTATACAACGTAACACGGAAGATAAGACAAACATGTATACTCAATACCATACATAAATGAAATTAGACTTGATACTACCATCACTTTGTGGAGGAAATATGCAATCACAAGCTTACAACACTGCTGAAATAAAGCACACAATATGAACTTACCACTGCGATAGAGGAACTCATAGGCTGGAATGTTGTATCCTAATGTATAACGTGTTTTCCATCCACCCATCAACGGAAAACGTGGGACTAATGTTACCTCCACAGAGTCCAACGAATCGCTTACTGTACTTGTGCTTATATTTCCAATTTCATCACGATAGTAAATATCCTTTGCAGATGCCGGAAGAGATGTTTTAAGAGAATTGACAGCTAGCTGCTGACCTATTCCATAATCAAAATCTAGACGAGAAAAAGGACCGCGCAACTTTGCACCCATATTCACAACTTCAAGCGTCTCTTCAACAGCAATGTTCCCCCAATGAGATACTTCAATGAGGCGAGTCATTTCAGTAACTATCAGGAAAGGAACATTATGTTCAAAGTGCAGAACAAGAGGCTCCTGTGTATTTATTAGTAAAATATAAAAAACCTACCATGGAGAAGGCTGGTTGCTTTTCAAAAGGACCGTAGACAATATTGTTTCCGCTCACAATAGGTTGTTTGGACGTTACAGTGTGAGTTAGAATCTGTCCTTTCGGCAAATGAACATTTGTTAGCTGACTGTCGGTGGGGTAGGGTGAAAAAAAGTACACATTCCCCTTGAATTTAACTGACTGTTTGTCAGACTGGCGAATTTCGGAAGGTCTTGGTTCCAAAACCCCAGTTAACACAACATCTACTAACACGCGTGAAGGTTGTGAAGATGGTTTTCCGAGACTTATAACGTATGTATTTGGCTTCCCTGAAGTTGGTTTTACTGGAATATTTTTTCCCGTTTTACTGTCCCCAAGCTGAAACGTATATATTCTAGAAAAGGCAACATACCGATGCGCTGATAAAAGCTAGGTGTTGATTATCCTTTTCTTCAACAACAAACTGATACTCGGAGGGGGTTTCGCTGAGTGAAATATCATGATTTATCCTGACGACACTGCCTCTAATGCGTATTGAGCGTGTTACGTTAACATTCCTTAGGCTTAACGCAGGAGATAACAAAAGCAGACTTAATAACCACAACATTCGGATTTCCACACTTGCAATCAACACATAGGCAGTTGAGGTGTACGTAAACAAACAAGTGCACAATGCTCAATATCTAGTTTAACATTTTACATTTCGCTGTTTTCATGTCATTAAGAATACCAAGACTTAGGTCTTTATTAATCTGCTCAATATGCAGTACAGTAATGGTTCACTCTCAATCTGAATGAATCAACATGAAGTGCTGCTACGACGTCCTGCTACTGAAAACTCTACTGGTTCATAATTGAAAGCACGTCATCTCAAGTGATCAGTTTGGGAATGCATAACGAAACAGGGTGAATTAGCACATAAACCTTTATGTAAAATACTGGATGCTAAAAAGAAGTCACTACCCAACAGCCGACATGAAAGCAGGAATAATTTTAGTTAATCCCTTCTCTCCTTATGCAGGAAGTATGGTATTTCTGTCATCGATTTTAGCCCACCCTTTGCACTCTATCTAACACGTCATTCTCACAAATGAAGTGTGAACTGGTTGCTTGGATAGCGAATTCCAAACAAGGTTCATACGTATTACTATTCCCTAACGTTACCAGTGGAACATGAGCTTCTAAAGAACTACATTTCACCCTTGTCTCTGTAATTCTTTCTAGCTAGCTCCAGGACTGACGATAGGATTTCATTTTCACTTCACATGATCTCGTGTCACTCCCGGGCCAACGTCCAGTTCGTCGTTTCTCATTTGGGTTTCACCTGACGACCTGTCTAATGCGTGATATCACTCAGAAGTCTCCAAAACATGTTTTCTATCAACCTCCATTTCCTCCGACATATTTGTTGGGCAGTATGTTCTCGATTGCTTCGTTCACAACTAAAGTTGCTTTCTTTTAATGCTCTCAATCAGGTGAGGTGGGCCAGGCTAAACATTCAGCAGATAGTGTGGAAAGAGACCTGGTATAATAGAATAAATGACCACAGAGCAATCAGGAGATTTATTTCCGGTTGAATCTAACCGAAGACGAGTTTGGAGCCGTTCCGGGAACAAAACTAACTGGTCTCCTGAAATTGGTGAGCCCGATGTTATCCATGCTGACTCAGTCCCCTCTCGCTCCACATGGTAATCCAGCTTTTGATATGCTACATGGACATCTTTTCTGCTATCAACTACATAAAAGCAATAATCCTTGTCACTTACTATCTACAGGTTACACTTTCTGGAAGCTACTTCAAGTTAATTTGGTGAAAGTATACAAACTGTTTTTATAAGAAGACCGCTAGCAGCAGAACAGAAACAAACCAGAGCGAGTTTTGATTCATTCTGACATCTTTATCAGTACATCTCATGTGGCCATCCTTACCTATAATCGGTCGTTAACTCCACAAACACTTAACACTGTTACATAGCTAGCGTAAGTCTTATAGTTCATTGAATGCATTAAGCTTAAGTGTACTTTTGCTCAACATGTGCTAGTTTTCTAAATTATGGCAAGTTGCATTCATATAGACATAAGAGTTTAATCTTCGAACTCTGAGGTTTTCTTCACACGTCGCAGCACTGATGATGTCTACCATAACGATCTTGGAAACCTTTTAGCTACTCTGGTAAAACGAAATCAATCTCATCCAACCTGGTGGCCAGACTGCAACCAACACCGCTCCAAATAGCGAAGGGAGGATGTAACACTTATGTCTCTTAAGGGGTATATTCATCAATAGCAGTATGAGCGGTGTATAGGTACACACAATCAAACCGCACCGCTGCTGCCGGTCATTTGTTCTTTTAAAATTCACATGTCCGCGTTGAGATCCGATCCGCAAGCATAAACGAATTGACTGTTGAGGGCGAAATGGTTGAGATTCAGTTGGGCTGACAATTTTCATTGATGCCCTACAACGACTCCCGCAAAAACTATGGCGAATGTCTTGGCTGCTGGGGAGGGTGTTGTTCGTACGGCATCCACTTGCATACCTAGCACCAATGACTGTGTCTACTTGTAACCCACCCAGCTTATGTTGGAGCAATGCCGACGCAGTGAATTATCACCCTGCTCCTCGCCGAATACCATTCGATGAATTTAGGACAATCACCAATTGATCCAATTACAAATTTATGAGAGTCAAGTCGACTTCAGAGGCGAGAGCAATGAGATCTTACCCGAAATCACGTAACAGAAAAAGGAGACGACAAATAAACAGGACGAAAGTAGGCAACAATTCCATTGTAAAAAACCTTCACACACATACACACAGCAGAAATATATGCGTGGAGCACTCCATAAAAATCTACCCGCTAAGAACCGCTGAATTCACAGCCGCACGTCTGCAATCCCCCTAAGATTGACGATTGAGTGTTTGAAATTCCCCCAATGGACCCATTTCGAGCCTCTTCCTCTTGTTTACATCTTCAACCCCCAATGATCCCACGCTCATGGCATTATGTCGTCGGAGACATATGACCGTCACGCTTTTCCAGTACTCTGTTGACCTTTAATCACAAATTACTTCCCTCTGTCGACAAATCTGTCTCCTTCAGGAATGGAGTATAAGGTGCTGGAGAATTTACAGTTACTTTGCAATCCTCAGAATATTATCACATTTAGGATCTACGTTCTCGTCTAAACAAACGCTGATTTTGATTCGTTTCCTCTGCAGCCGGGAAGGTAAGCGTCTGACGATTACTCCAAGAACAGAGCTTGAGTTCGAATCGTTCATACAATTCAGGTACATCAAATAGCTTTCGCAAATCATCAGATTGCTTTAAAACAAGGTGAGATCTTTGGGATCATCCCTCAACTGCCGGTCATGTTAAACACACATCTGATAATCATTGAAGACCTTCCGAATCTTTGGTGCAACATAAGCCTTCATTCTCTATACCCATCCTTTGGAGATGAGAATTTAAGACATTGTTTCGCTTTAATAGCAGCACCAGTACAATGGCCCAGTAAAGACACCCACCTTGCACCGTCATTTAGCCTAACATCATCCAAAATTAATCCAATCTCCTTCAAAAAAGGAGGCAGTCTGCTGGATTCTCCACTAAGCATCGTAACTCAGATTTACAATACTTACGGAAAATCCTTTTGCGACTGCCTCGTTCCTCAAAACACACCTACCCTTGTAGGGCCTCTACAGCACAGTATACTACGCCCACTGAGGCGTAGTAAGAAAATGAGAAGTTCGGAAGAATAGAGTAAGCAGCCAATTGGGATCTGTATCTTCCTCATGAATTGTACGGCTTCCTTGCACACTGAATAACGAATGCACTTCCATGTTAAACTATAAAACTCAAGTCTCAAAGTCGTGTGATTACAATTGATATGATTATGAACAATAAATTTTGTTCAAAACGTCATCCAGTAAATAATACTGTTTCACTCTGTGATATATTTAATAAACAAACTAATATGGAATGCACTTCCATGTCTTCGACTGGGTATTCCCCGCCGTACTCGTCCTTTGATGTGCTTTCGGAAATAAATTTTCATTAACGCCACTGGTCTTTCACAATATTACGAGTCGTCGGTCAGCAATTTGAATAATTGTTCGGTTTCTAAATTGATGAATCTGTTTCGTCCACATTTTGCCTTCAATTCTGTACAGTTGAATATGGTCTATATGCATGTTTTGTTTTTGGTCATTTTTCGGATGTTTTTTTACCCATCAAAATGGACCATTTGCCAAGCTCAGAAACTGACTTTAAAAACTCTACTTCTGAGGAGGTGGAACCTTGGCAACTGCCAGAGTTAGGCTGTCTGGATTTGATCCGTATGACTCAGAACTATGTTTCGCACAAATAGAGCACTGCTTTGAAGGGCGCATCATCAAGTCTGAGACCACCAGATATACGAGCGTGTTCTCATTTACCTTATGAGATCATTGAGGAGGTGCGAAACCCTGTACTTCAGCCCTCCAGTGGGAAGCCATACACAGTTTTTGAGTGTGAGGTGACAAAAGATCTATGTGGGGAAACCACCTTATCGAACCCTCGCTCCATTTGAAAACTTGGGGTATATTTCCCCATCACATTTCCCGGGCTATCTGCAGCATCTTTTATGGAACTGCAGTTTGCGAGAGTCTGTAAGATGCAAGGCCTTCCGGGTATTTCCAACAGGCGCTAGACGCCCGAGCCTCTGATCCTTCTCTTAAACACTCATCACTGGCAGGATTTTGGAAAGGTGACTTACAATAGGGCAACCGAACTTCGTGAGTGTGAGCAAAGACTCAATAATCTCAGAACTAGTGGCCAGCGTTAGATCACTGGCGGAACAACTAGCACAAATACGGCTAACACAGGACGGAAAAGGTGTATCGCCCAATGCAGCATGTTCATGGTCAAAGAGTAGACACCTACGAATAAGATCAAAAGAGTAATTCTGTTGGTATAACTGGAGGTTTCGTGCACAGCCAAAAAATACAGCCAACTACGCGCTTGACCTAAATGACCTCGCAAGTAACAGGGAAAAGATTTACCCTTTCTCAGGCAGCGACTAATGTAAGGGGTGTCCAGACAGCCCACTCTGCATGAAGGATAAAATATGGCACAGATTTCTCGGTTGATGCGAGAACTGCAGTCAGTATCATACTAAATGCAAGTGCAAGGCCAGGACGACTAAGGACCACCGTCGCACCACAGGCCACCATTAAAATCCAGGCTGTGACTTTCAGGGAAGAAATACTGACGCTTCACCTCGGGCTTAAGCGACAGCTTCCATGGCTGTTCGTTATGTTTGGTTTAAGACTAGTAATCGTCAGCATCGACTTCCCGGAAAGATATGATTTATCAGTATATCCTCAAAGAAGACGATCAACAATAAGAGATACCCCTTGGTGTACGATTGGCAGAGCAATCAAGCACTTTTCGTTGAATTTGGTCCAATTTCCGCCAGAATCAACTGAAAGGCTTCAGAAAATACAACTGGAATTCCCAGACCCTACGGAAAATAACTCCCACACAGTGCTGATGACGAATTCTCACTTGGATCAATCGGTAAACCGAGAGTTATAGTACCTAACTAGTACCACTAGTACCTAGTACCACTAGGCCGCGCCTAACTTAGTGGAAGAACTAATTGATAAGGTAGCCCGTAACACTGGCGATTTACAGATCATTCAGAAATCCATATCAGACCTGCAGGATAAATTTGAAAGTATCACTCCTTTCATCCAACTTTGTGGTCCATCACAAGAAATTTGCTTAGATTC